AAATAAGTAACAATGTACATAAATTAACTAGCAGGGTTAAATGATAAGGAATTTAAATGCAAATATATGACATATATCTATTGATTTGATGTAAACGTGTAAACTTTTTTTTTTTTACTGAATTTCTCAATTGGTTAAGCCACTTTTTTTCACTTTAAAATAGGCATATGTTTTAAGTATATGCTATATATACTATGCAATTAAAGGACCTAAATCGTGTTGAAGAGATGATCATTATATTCCACACAGACATGTTCTCTTTAATGTAAAGGCAGATTAATCTTGTATTTTCTATTTAAACGTTGTGGTCGAGCCCTTTTATGAACCTTGCGCATAGCAGGAGTTTTAGTGCACCAGACTGCCCCTTAACTTATTTGTATTCTAACTAAATTGATCATGGTCATCACAATACGCATCCCATATTTGGTTGTAGTATATATCTTAATATACCATGGTATGGTATACAAGACTTTCAACCTCAACACAGGACCCCATTCCTACCCGAGACTTGAATCTCGACTCAGGATTAGAAACCTAGACCCAAGATCCAACCTAGGATCAGACTCCTGACCTTGAACCTAACCCGTAACCTGACTCTCAATCACTTATTTTTCTGAAAATATTATTTTTATTCATATCAAACATACCCTAAAAAGAGAAAAAGATAATTTGGGAGTACTCATTCTTTTACATAATAAAAAAAAGTAGTAGATATCCATATTATTTGTTCGTTTACCCATTTTTTATTCCTATCGAATATGGACTAATAGAATATTTTATCAATTTTTATCAGATTCATTTTTTATCCTCTATTATCCGACTCGATCCACCTGTTTGTCACCACAACTATCTAGTACCTTAAATACAAATTACTACTATATATATATACCTATTGATGTAAGCCAAAATAAGTAAACAAAACCCTAAATCTTGGAACAACAATAAAAGATAGAAAAGACATAGATAGATTGACAAGTCCTTGTTTCAAATTGAAAATTTTCTTCCAAAAGTCATAAACAACCAAAGAAACTAGAGAACAATATTGTCTCAATAACAAAAAAATGTAGAGTGATAACTTGTCAAATGATCATTATCCTCAAGCTACAAATTATTGTTCTTCAATCTCTATAGAACCCTCTTTCTTTTTCTTCTCCTCCTCCTTCATTTTCATATACATTCCATACAAATACGAAGAAAATCCCCAAATACACAACAAAGTCGAAACTACTTTAATTCCACCAAAATTATCTCCATACACTATAACCCCACCCAAAACATTAACGGCCATTAACGCCGTCATGCAAACTCCCCCTGTCAATGAACTTGTCAAGAACACCATCCCAGCAGTACCCATAAAACAAAACTGCCACGTCACCACGTTAAACATCACCGTTAACCAGTATGCTTTTTCACCTAAATCAAACACATTTTTTCCCTCTTTTTTCATCTCTGGAAATCCACCGTCTATAATCATTCCTAACGTGGCCAAAATCGTAGCTGATAATTCCATTACCATTTGCATTTCCACAACCATAGAATAGCAATAAACTTCTTTATATATTTTTTCCATTAATGGAAGATAAAGAGAGAACATCAATCCAGCACCAATTGTGGAGAAAAATCCTATAAAATAGTTTCTTCTCGTCAAACTATTTGGTTTGTCATGACTCGAACCCAAGGCCAATAGTACTGAACTAAGCGTTAGTAAAATAACACAATTGAGATTCGCAAATGTAATCTTTTGTTTGACAATAATGACACAAGTGATAAGGGTGAAGACTAGTTGTGACGATAACACAAGAGAATTAGTCGAAACGGGGAGGTAAGAATTACCCCAAGAAAATAAAAGGTTGTTGAGACCTAACAAGAAACCAATTACAATAGAAAGTAACAACATTTTGGGAGTGAAATTTGTAAATGGTTTTCTATGAGTTGATTTAAAAACATAAAAAGGTAAATAAATAGGGAGAAGGAGAAGAGGGAATCCAGCAGATTGCACCCAAGTAGAAACCCATCGACTATCACCTTTGTGATTAAAGTAGAATTTTGAGACTAGGGATGATGAAATTGAGCCAATAAAAAGTTACATGTAGTTAATTATTAGAAGAAACATCATGTCACGTTTGTTACTAGTGTTTGTTTCTTTTGAAAATTCTGTTTGATCTTGATGAACTTGTTCTTGACCTAAAAATTCCATTGAATGAAATTTTAGGAGTGAATTTTGTATATGGTTTCCTATGAGTTGATTTAAAAACATAAAAAGGTAAATAAATAGGGAGAAGGAGAAGAGGGAATCCAGCAGATTGCACCCAAGTAGAAACCCATCGACTATCACCTTTGTGATTAAAGTAGAATTTTGAGACTAGGGATGATGAAATTGAGCCAATAAAAAGTTACATGTAGTTAATTATTAGAAGAAACATCATGTCACGTTTGTTACTAGTGTTTGTTTCTTTTGAAAATTCTGTTTGATCTTGATGAACTTGTTCTTGACCTAAAAATTCCATTGAATGAGAAAAACAAAGAACAATGAAAATTTGAACTTGTTATAGTGGATGAATATTGAGGGGTTTTGGTGAGTGTATATATATATATAGTGACTGGTCAGTTATGATATATATAAGAGATTTACTTAATTAGTGTACTTTGACTATATATTTTGGATTAAATTTTAAATTTTATTTTTAAATATCTATTTGGTCAAAGATTTGAATCAGGTCATATATTTTGAAAATTTGTCTTACATAAAAAATTCAACTTCACAGATGAGTTTTTGAGAGAAACGTCACTTTTCATTACAAGAGTTTTTTTTTTAAAATTCAGGTAAAATGCAAGTTCAAACATAACTTCACAAGTTCTAAAAATAACAAATTTAAAATCATAAATTTTCAAATTTCAACTTTAAAATCTATAGTAAAAGGAGGAATTTAATGTATTCATTCAACAACAATTTAAATTATGCTTTCACTTTATTTAAAAGGTTGCAATTATATAATTTTACCCTTAACAAAAAACATTTGAATAATTTTCTGTTTTGCTTACAAGAGTTTTAGTTTATTCATAATTACATAAATACTGAGAACATTCCGAGTTCACTTAACTTTTATTACAAATTTACAATATCACTATATCGTCCCTTAAAATAGAATTTCAGTTAGGTTCATAGGCAATACTCTTAAGATGCAAGAAGCGAGATTTAAATGGTTTGTGCATGTGAAGTGGAGAAGCATAAATGTCCTCATGAGGATGTGTGAGAGGTTGATGCAGTGATAGATTTGAGAAGAGATCGAGTTAAATTGAGGAAGAATTGAAAAGAGGTGATTTGATAATATTGCATGATATCTTTAACTGGTCATAACTTTTAAATAGAATAACATGAATCAGTACAAAATCAAGACATGAGCAAAAACCTTTGTGCTCTTCATAAATGGACTACGTAAGTATCCAATATCACAATCAACGTGTATTCATAAGCAGACTAATCATATGAATTTTTATCAATTGTGTTGATTTATGGTCTTAAAATATCTTAAATATCTACCTTATTAGTAGGGAAAAGGTAGAAAATAAATCCAAGCACTATATCCTAATTATATTTTCTTTTTTAAACATACGATCCCTCAGTCCCTTTTTATTGGTCAAATTTTGACTTGACACACATATTAAGAAAATTATGATTGGTATTAGTGAATTTACTATTTTATTTCTATTAATTAATAGAGTCTTAAACATATTTACTCACTACATTTTTTAAAGACATTAACTCAATATTAATAAATTGAAGGTATCATATACAGGTAGAAAAAATTGTTCTTCCTTGATTTGTCAAAAATGACAATTAAAAAAGAAATCAAATTAGAAAATATGTAACAAGTAAATATATATAAACGGATGAAGTATCTTTTTGCACATATCATTTGGTCGTTACTCACTAAAATGTGCATTAATCATCATCATCATCATCATCATGCATTATGCTCATATGTTATATTGGATACTCAATTAGCCTATTTATGATCAGCCGAAAGGTTATTGCTTAGGCTTGTTTTTTATTAGATTTAAAATTTATGAATTTTATTATTTTAAAATAAATAAATTTTCGCATATAGTTTTGTTTGTGTTGAAAATATTGAAGTCAAATAAATTTGATATCGTAAATTTGTTTCATGAAACTTGTACCTAAGGTAATCATTTTTCATTTTGTAACTCAAATTTTTTTGTATCGACTCCCGTATTTCTTTTTCCATCTACAAAATATATTGTTATGAATCAAGTCTTGAGAAGAATGTGTATGCTATATTTTTTCTTCTCTATCTTTGTTTTGTTTGTTAAATTTTCTCTCTATAGACTTCTTTTATTTATTTATTTTTTTATAAAACTTATATTTTTATTTGGACTATAATTTAGTTCAAATTCTTAAACTTTCAAAGTATTTATATTTGTTAGCATAAAATACACGTGTGTTGCATGTTTACGAGAACTAATATTTTAGAAAGAACAAATAAAATGTTTATCTTTTGAAACTCATTAATAAAAAAAATTTTATTTGATAAAATATATCACCAAAAAAAAAGTAGTGGAAAGAATCCAAATCCAATACAAGGGGTAAGAGTAGAGTTTGCCTAATATAAGGGGTGTAAATTCTTAAAAGAGTAAAAAGAAAAATACCACTTTAATATATGTATTTCCTTACTAGAGTCTACCTTTATATAGCGAAGCCCCTATATATATATATTCACCAAAAGCATATTTTCTCTATATAAGAAATCCCCCACCCTCCAACCCCATCCATCCATCCATTCAAACCAAATCTAAATTTTCTTTCAATGGAGTTTGTATCCCAACCCCAACAAGAAGAACATGATGATGCGAGAGAAAATCTAAAAGAGTTGATGATCATTGACAACAAAAATAGTGATGAAATTGTCCAAATCCAAATGCATCATGACCAGGTTGAAGAAACAAACATGACTAGTAGTGAAACCACTAAAAAATGCTACATGTTTCTTCTAGGTATTAACTACATATTACTTTTTATTGGCTCAATTTCATCATCTTTACTCTCAAAATTCTACTTTAATCACAAAGGTGATAGTCGTTGGGTTTCAACTTGGGTCCAATCTGCTGGATTCCCTCTTCTCCTTCTCCCAATTTATTTGCCTTTTTATGTGTTTAAATCAACTCATAGGAAACCATTTACAAATCTCACTCCTAAAATGTTGTTACTTTCTATTGTAATTGGTTTCTTGTTAGGTCTCAACAACCTTTTATTTTCTTGGGGTAATTCTTACCTCCCCGTTTCGACTAATTCTCTTGTGTTATCGTCACAACTAGTCTTCACTCTTATCACTTGTGTCATTATTGTCAAACAAAAAATCACATACACGAACCTCAATTGTGTTATTTTACTAACGCTTAGTTCGGTCATGTTGGCCTTGGGTTCGAGTCATGACAAACCAAAGGATTTGACGAAAACAAAGTATTTTATAGGATTTTTCTCAACGATTGGTGCTGGATTATTGTTCGCTCTTTATCTCCCATTAATGGAAAAAATATATAAAGAAGTTTATTGCTATTCTATGGTTATGGAAATGCAGATTGTCATGGAATTAGCAGCTACCGTTTTGGCCACGTTGGGAATGATTATAGACGGTGGATTTTCTGAGATGAAAAAAGAGGGAAAAAATGTGTTTGATTTGGGTGAAAAAGCATACTGGTTAACAGTGATGTTTAACGTGGTGACGTGGCAGTTTTGTTTTATGGGTACTGCTGGGATGGTGTTCTTGACAAGTTCATTGACAGGAGGAGTTTGCATGACGGCGTTAATGGCCGTTAATGTTTTGGGAGGGGTTATAGTGTATGGAGATAATTTTGGTGGAATTAAAGTAGTTTCGACTTTGTTGTGTATTTGGGGATTTTCTTCGTATTTGTATGGAATGTATATGAAAATGAAGGAAGAAGAGGAGAAAAAGAAGGATGATTCATTAGAGAAGTTGATTAAAAATGATAAAGATGAAGAGGAGAATATGACAGAAATTCATGTAACGCACAATACATGATGGTTTCGTGTTTTGTTTTTTGTTTTTATTAGTAGTAATAGTTTGTCATATTGCATTTTTATTTTTGTTTTGAATCAGTGTTTTAATATTGTCGTGTATCTAAATTCTAAATCCTCCATTTGAAGACAATCCCTTGTAACAAACAAAAAGGAGAATGGAAAAAAAAAAAAAGTTCATTTTGCATCAGTAGCCTTTGTTTCTTCTCATTCTTAATTACATGGTTTATTTGAGTTCATGCAACCAGTGTGATAATATGATTAATTATAAGAGAGCTCTATGCGATCTCATGTCATATCTTAGACTAATAAATATGAGAGAGAGGTTGTAAGGGTAAACTCTCTCTGACAAAATGATTAATACTCACATACTTCTCATTTTCAGTTATAGTTTATAACCGTAATTCTAGGTTAAAGTTACCACATTGAAGTAGTGAGTCTAAACTTCTGATAGTGAGTGTTTTCTTTTTTATTAAGTCTTACGCATTGTGATTATTGAAACTATATATAGTGAGCTGGTAGATATCGAATACCAGATAATTAAAACAAATCAGTTTACATGTTTGTGTTATCATGTTTATTAATGACCAAACACCAATAAGTGGAATTATTTACATCTTTTAATAAAAGCAGATCTACTTTGAGGATTTTGTTTTCTTCACTGATCTTATCATTAGCACAAATGACTTAAATCCAAATCCATCAGTTAGAGAAGAAGACACAAGAATAAATATCTAAATTTTGTAAAAACATAATTAAGTCCATTAAGTTTAAATTACCAGTGAAAAAAAAAAACTCTTTTTTGAGTATTAATAGGTTATAAATCGATTAGTGGTGTCAATTAAATTGGAGATATTAGAATAAATTGAGTTAATGAATATGTGAGTCATTAAGTGAATCAAAATGAATTGAATAAAAAAAACTAATGGGTCATAATTTTAAGCTCCCTGAAGTCCGTAAATATTTCATAGGATGTCTTATTTTGATCGTCTCATTTAAGTAATACCCACCGGCCACTTTAATATATATTATTTTTACGAATACCTAGCTAATATTAGATAACTTTCAGGAAAAATAATATATTTTTTTCTTGCTTTTGCATTCAAATATATATAACTGATACTTTAGTCTAGTTTAACATGTGTTTTAATTATATATGACTGAATCGGACTTATATATGAAAAAATTGAAAAGTTGTTAAATGGTTAACACACCGTCTTTAATCGATCACTCCAACAAAAAAAATAATTAGCGGCAATAAATATGGATATTAATAAAGTCTTTACCGATATTAGTTAAGTCATGTTATTAGAACCAAAGTCTTTACCGATATTAGTTAAGTCATGTCATTAGAATCAAAGAGTGCTAATTACCGCTAAAAAATATATATTTAGCAGCAATTAAGCTATTACCTAATTAATTGCCGCTAATGGTCATTTTTTATCTCGTGAATTAAGTGTAAAGTTTATTAAACTTGACCGCAGCTTCTTTTCCTTTTTAAGGTATAGATTAAATATTAAAAAAAATACTTTTTTTGTCAATTCTGTTGAGGGCCTTTAACTTTTAATGACTTGAAGATAATTGTACAAGTCATATATGTGTATAATTAGATAGGATTAAAAATTACTATATTTGACAGAAAGTTCAAGTTATGCACATAGATAATAAAAAGAGATTATCATGTTGTAATAATTTAAACACATTGCATTATAATAAAAGGGATAATATTTATTGCCGTAAAAATATTTAGCGACAATTGAATTAGTGTTATTGCATTCAGAATTGCTAAAACCTTTAATGACATTTATATGTATAGAATACTGATTATAAATATTTGTATTATATTTTCACCGCTGCTAAATAATTGTTCTGCTAAACAATTGTCGCTAAAAGAAAAAATTACTATTATAAAATGTCTAATTTTGTTATAGATTGTAACTAATTGATTTTAAAGTCCAACCCTAATTTGTGAGATTAGGCCAATATATTTCTAAAATGGTTTCTATTTAATTATTTATTGAATAGAGATTATAATTTGTAGATATCATGATCATGAGTTAATTATGATCATATGAAGAAATAATCATTGAGTGTCGTTCTAGCTAGCTGAGTAGCTAGCTAGTGCTTAATATCATAACTATATATTTAATACTCCCTTCGTCCCTTTTTAGTTGTCCACTTCAGAAATGGCACACAGATTAAGGCAACAATGATTAGCACTGTGAAGTTACAATTTTACTCTTATGACAACTTTTCACTTCAAAATTACAACCACTTATTTGAATTCAAGTGAAATAAATTGGAGGGAAACAACATACACTTTTACAATTTTCAAGAAGTGTAAATAAGGGTATAATATGAAAAAATTTGTTGTCCTTTCTTGATTTGTCAAAATGGACAACTAAATAGGGACAACCAAAAAAGGAAATATGGACAAGTAAATAGGGACGGAGGGAGTAT